AAGACTGTATTAGCACGAACACTAATGAGAAAGCTAAGAACAGATGCATCATTCTTGTTCCGAACTGTGTATTTTAGCTTAGGAAGGGTCACTGATCCATTGGCTGCTTTAAGAAATTAGTCCGGGCATGAATTGGTACAATCAACAATGCCAAGAAGATTATGACTATGCAGAGCAGGTTCGAATTGACAGACCCTGCTAAGATAATTGTTTCTATCAAGCCGAACTGAGATCAGCTGTAACAAATTAGGAAAAGAAGTAGAGGAAGACGAGGCCATTGCAATCAAAAGCGTAAGCAACACTCAGAAATTGATACTATGAAAGAATGTTTGAAAGATCGGGCTCGCCTAAGGAGTAACAACTATCAAGGAGCAAATATATATAGTAGTTGTAAAGTTGCATGAAAGTGACAGTAGGAGAAGTCAAAGCTGATAGTACAAATTTCAAACGTCAAACCTAACAAAACAATCTTATCTGTAAATGGTAAGTGCATATTATGCATTTATTTAGTGCTTTTTTACTTACTTATTTATGAGTAATTGAACAAGTATCAATCTAATATGTGTAAATATGTTAATTGTAGCTAAATCATCGACTTTAAATGCAAATGGCGTGAAAATGGTGAAATTGGAGTTGCTTAGAAGCAATCGATGATCACTCGGGTTGCAATTGATCAAATGGAAGCTTATGGGAGCAATCAAAAGCGATTCACAAGTTTTGGGAGCTAAATCCAACATTTAAAAAGGTTAGGAACTTAATTGAATACCTTTGGAACTTGTATCAGATTGATTATGAATGATTGAGGAATGTCATGAACCAAATTAAATTGAATTAAAGCTGAAGGACCAAGATTCAAAGAAGAAAAGATGCAGATTGAACATAAGACGAAATATGCAGATCAAATTGTACATGCTGAAAACTTACAAGGCGATGATTGCAATTCTCCAAGGACTGTGATCAAGTAGAGCCCAAAACTGTTCAACTCTTCAATTAAGTTATTTTTGAGTTAATTATTGCCATAGTTGAATTTTATTTATTTATTTTTTCTTTTCTTTTCTTTTTCTCTTTAGCTACTTATTTTTCTTGGAAGACACATAGCATGTGATAACATTCATTGTAAGGCTTAATAGAGGCTAGGAATAATGTCTAACTCATGCATGATCCAATTGATGTTCTTGTGCTTTTAATAATTGCTTTGTCCTTCCACTAATGTAGTCAATAATGAAGCTGAGGGCCAATCTTTTTGTTTGGCAGGGTCAGAATGGAGAAAATTGTTCCTCATCTGTGAAGAAAATAGGAGAGACCAACAAACAGATTTCATATTTCGAAATCCTCTTTCATCTAGATGCTTTAGATCCCACCAAATTTTTCCATTTTGATCTCGGAGGAACTTTTATATGGAAGTTGTACACATCAATGATATATATACAAGTACATGTCTCAACATGAATCATTTCTACCATTTTCACCTTTAAATATAATGAAGTTACAGTGCTGGAAACCCATGCAGAATCACTTATCA